CTGAGGCAGTGACACAGACTGTATGTTTCTACCGCGCTGCTGAGCTTGGCTGGCCAAGTAAACCACAGATGAGGAGCTGCCACTGGGACAAGGTGACCTCTTGTGCTCAATAATTTGCTGGACTGGCCTAGGTCTGTTGGGGGACCAGGAGTGGGCATCAACTCTGTGCCACCCAAACCCACTCGTGGTACTGTCAGGAGCATGTTTCCACTCTTAGAACTCATCAACCAGGTTGCATTATGAACTTTCAGCCGCCCTAATCAGACCCCATGCCGTGTCTCCCGGCACTCTGTGAACTAACCCTTCTCCCCCAAGGGCTGCTGAAGGAACCAACATGGAACAACATGCCTGAATCATTGGACTCTGGGGTACCACTGTCCCCCTACGTCATGGGTGATGGTAATACACAGTATTCCTAAAAGCCACAAGTAAAGGGGAGGGAAAAAAGATGATGTCCTTCAAGTGTCCTCCATGCCCTCCCTCACCCTGCTGCATTTCTGAGAGAGGCTAAAGCAATTCAGGATTGGAAAGGGGAAAGGGACTTTGCCATCACTTGTCAAGGAGAGTGTGGGGGAGGGATGAATGTGTACTTCCTGATAATTTATCGCTGGCATCTGTTGCGGTCTCTGTTACCTACCCTTCTGTAATATAGGTCACCCACATGCCCTGCCAGCGCTCGTAAGCCAGGCTGTTAGCGGAGTCTGATCCCTGAGCCATGATCCAAGGGTTACTGCAAAGGACTAGGAGGGATAAGCAGAGACAGAGGTCGCTGGGCTCTGTTTCTGACTGCGACTCATCCTAGTGACACAGTCACCTGTCTTTCCAGCCTTAGTATCCCCATCTGGAAAATGGGATGGCTTTATCCACCTAGCCAGAGCTGAGGCACTACTGGCTGTGACGTCAGCATTACTTCTGGGGGTCATTAAATACAAAATAACACCACCACCGACAACCGTGGTAAGAGCTATTTGTAAAGCAGATGGAAAGCTTTGGGTAGAAGGTGTCACAGCATTGGGAAGTGTTACCAAAACAGTATGTGGATGCAGTAAACTGAAACCTTCCCCTCCCTCACAGTGTGCTCCTTGGGACCCAACTTAGGAAAGCTAAGGGTTGAGAGGGATACTGCAAACACTGCTGGTGTCTGGGGAGGGAGAAGGGAAGCAGAAGACGGTGATAGTGCCTGCTGTAGCTTTTATGCCCTGACAAGTGCTTCCGCGTCATGACGGGCTCCTCAGCATCCCCCCAGCAGTAAAGTTCCCTGTTCAAGCTAATTAGGGGAATCCTCATTAGAGAGTCCTCTAGAGTCTGACAGCAGGCCAAATGTCCAAGTGGCACTTCAGCTTAGTGTATTTTTGGCCGCTGGAGCCCATGGGCCAGAAACGGATGATTTCATTCTGTTGCTTTGAGCTGAAACTAAAAAAGTTGTCTTTTACTGTCCTATATCAAACGGCAAGAAGAAAAGGCCATCACCAGCCCCACAGGCTACTCTGTTCATCTCTCCAGAGTCTGGAAAAGAGATTCAGCTCCAAGCACATGGAAGAAAACTCTGGACACTGTGTCCCATGGATCACGGGGCATTCAGCTGACATGTCGCTTCAGGGAGAAGGAACCCTCTAGTAAGCCTGGAAGAAAGACTGACGCCTGGTTTGGGGAGCCCCTGGGTGACTTCAGAGCATTCCATGCTCCAGCAACAAAGATCAGCCTTGAGGTCCCAAACCCAGGCAATGCCACGCTGGCTCTGAATGGATGGCACGTTGCCTCTCCTCTTGGGCTGGGGGCAGAGGGGGGCACTCCTCGGTCTGGCAACAGCCTTACTGCTGGAAAAGTCCCCGCTGTCAGGCCAAAAGCAGCCAGACAGATTTGGTGGTGCTCTTGAGAGCCCAGAGGCGTGGGCAGGTGGTAGCTGCCCCAGAACTATGGGGTTCCCAGTGTTGGCAGCGAGTGCAGATGGCCTGGTGCTCTATGGAGCAGAAGGCATCTCTTGGGCCACAGTAGAACAGGTAATTGAGTCAGAATTCAAGACAAGCCAGGGAAAACCTTTAAAAAACAAACTCTCCAAAATTCTTTCTTTTTCCTGGCTGCAGAATACTAATCACGAAGGATCTAATGTGCCTATGGGCAATATATGCGTGGGAGAAACAGTTTTTTTGGGTTCTTGGAACTAAAATTTCTCCATAAACATACTATTTCAAGGTATAAATGCAGAAGCTCATTGGCCCTCCCACTTCAGCCGTCACTAACCTCTACCTATTCCAAATCTACTGCTCAGCCACCTCGGCATACGTTACGCTTGGAGAAGCAGGCAGGGTTGTGCAAGACACGGATGTTGATAAATATGGGTCACAGAAGAGCCCCCAGTACACGTGCAAGCCCAACCCTGAGCACACATTTGTAAATGTAAGCCAGGTTGGTGGCTGCATCTGTGTACGTACGTGAAGATAGCTGCTTTTAAGTCCTGGAAACACGTGTGTGAGTGCACAAAGGGTGGCCGCTATCTCTGGGGCGGGGAGTGGTGTGTTTATGTGCCATGCTTTTAAAATAATCTTGGGTTTATCGAGGCGCCTCCATCTTTATGCGTGTTGCAGCGCAGGAGACAGCATTAAAGCCAGAACAGGTGTTAATCACTATGCACTGTAATAAATTCTAAACATAGGGAAAGGGCTTATTTATACCCGGCTGCTCCTCCCACCCTGCACTCTGAGCTTCAGCCTTGGTGCTGCCTGGAAGAAAGAGGTGCCTGCGAGGTACCAGAATCGCGTGCAGGAGCTGGGCATGCCCTGCCAGAGCAGAAGGAGCCAGGGGTACAAACCCTGAGCCTGTCCCCATCCTCGCTCCGGGGTACGCCAGCTCTGCTCTCAGCCCCTGGCTGGTGCCTGGGGATGGTGTGGCTGAATGGCATTGAGCGGGGTGGGGGACACCCCCTGAGGGGGGGCCTAAGGGGGGGGCACAGAGGGAAGCCGTGTCACGAAGCACCTAAGGAAGCTGGGTTTTTGGTGGTGGTTTTTTTTTTTAAGTGCTTAGCCCCCCTGCTTGGAGCCGAGCCAGCTGATACAGATGGGGTGTTACAAAACAGAGCCAAAAGGCAAGAGCGCAAGGAACAGAGCTATCTATAACCCTGACAAAGTTAGATGGAGTGAAGGTGGGGAAGAGGGAAAGCCAGAGCACGGCAGGCAGCCCCCGATGCTGGGAGTGAGGATGCGATTGTTCGGCAGTGGGATTTGGAGCTGATCGACTCCCGCTATCCAGCGAGCAGATAAGGTTCTGTGGCTGTCAGCTTAACTCTGCCGTTATTCCTGTGCTGTAGGGAGTTAAATAGAGCACACGGAAAGCCTGCTGCCGGGGAGTGAAAGTCAAGGAGGAGAGGGAAGGAAGAGGCTGGAATTGGGCAGTGCCCGGGGAGTCGGGTGGAAGTGGCTGCGGGCAGAGCCCCTCCAGGTAAGTGCTTGCGGCTTTTCATCCTCCTTGTCGATGCCAACAGCCGGGGACAGAGGCTTTAGGGGTGGCATTCAGACATGGCAATGGGGGAGGCTGAAAGTCTCCTCCTCAGCCAGCACTGAATGGGCACAGCTATTTGTTGCAGCTTCTCCTTCAGCAGGGACCGCAGGGAAAGGGCTCCAGCTCGGTTTGGGGAGTGGGGGGCTGTGGCAGGTGAAGGTTGGATCGGTTTCGGTGCCGTGGGAGGCATTCGTCTATTTGGTGCGTTGGCATTTGGGTAAACGATCTAAACAGCCTTGCAAGATGTACTAGTTCAGGCACTGAACCTGCTCATCTTTTCGAGATGCTAATTTAAATATTTCCTGGTGATTTACATTCCCATATAAAATAAATCAGTCAGGGCAACCTGGGGGAGGGGAAGCAGCTTGGCACGCGTGTCGGGAGAGCGTCCCGGTGGGAGTGCAGCGCCCAGCTAAAATAAGGGCTGTGGATGCTGTCAGAGCCCCACAGAGGGGATGGAGGATGGTTCATTTCTGTACCCTGGTTGAAATGTGTCCATCTAACTGCTGCTGTGACTGTGGGTGCCACATCAGAGAGCATGCAGGGGGACAGGAGGGTCCATGGTATTTCCCTTTTTCCTGCTTGCCTGTATCCAAAAGGGAAGTGGGAGGGAAGTTGGAACCTGTTGTCAGTCACTTATTGTCAGGGGAGAGTTTATGGTCTTTGGGTTTCTAATTAGAATGAGCATTTTTCCTTCTTCTAATTAAGATGTAATTCCTCTCTTTTCAACACTCCCACTCAGTCTCCCCAGCCTGAGGTCCTCCCTTCTCCTCCTGGGCTCTCTCGCTTTTCAGCTCCTGCAGTTGCTGCAGTGTGAAATCCCCAAGCTGAGGCTGTGCTCTGCTCAGCCCCACTCCAGCCACCACATCGGTTTTACCTTAAAACAGAAAGGCAGCACCGGGTAGGGAACACGGGGCGGGGAGAAGCAGCTTGGCAGCCGCTGGTACCCAGACCTCAGTGAGCCAGAGCTGTATGTCAGGGGGAGGATGCACAGGTTGGTGAGCCAGAGCCATGTGTCAGGAGAAGATGCACAGGTTGGTGAGCCAGAGCCGTGTGTCTGGGGGAGGATGCACAGGTCGGTGAGCCGGAGCTGTGTGTCAGGAGAGGATGCACAGGTGGTTCCAGCCTGCATGGAGGTGAGAGGGAATGAGCCGGAGTCAGCTCCCCTGGCACAGTCACCTCAGCAATCCAGCAGGTTAACCGTGAGCGTGAGGCCAATGTAGCTACCGTGGCAGGCTATTCAAGCACGGGCTTGTCTCTTCGGCGCTTAGGTGATTCAGGCCTTATTTCTGCACTGAGAGGTTCAAAGCGAATTAATGTTGCGCCTTCGTCATGCTGTGCCTCCTGAAACATCCTCCATCTCTCCTCCAAACCGGAGCTGGTGCCTCAAAGGCAAAACTCTAGTTGGAGAAGCGAGAGGAGACACTGAGCCCAGCCCCATGTCCTGTGCCCAGGGAATGGAGTCTGACCTGCTCTGCCCTGCTCTCCCCATCCAGGACCTGGCAGGCAGGCCACAAGGCCATTCCTCCTCCCTCCGGGGCTGTGGGCCAGGCTGGCTGGTGGATGTGAAGACACGCTGGAGAAGACAACAATGCTGCCCACAACTGCTGGCCACCAGTGGAGGAGCAGGTTCCTCATGCGGTGGCAAGAGGCTTGCCGTAAGTAATGCCTACTCAGGGACTAAGTACGGTGATCCTGTTTTTGTCAAGGGAGTGGGAAGAAAATAGGTCACATCAGGGTTAAGAACAGGGGAGAGGGACAGCTAAGAATGGAGATGTTTGATCTAATTCCTGATTCCTTTAGAGGCCAGGCTAGCTGGGAGGGAGACTCTAAGGCTGATGATGGGCTTAAAGTGGGACAGAGAGTGATGATTGCTTCTGAATTCCAGTGGGCCTGGCAGGTGAGAAACAGCGAGACAGATACCACCGCACAAAGAGTGACCCCGACCGTTTCTCAGCGCAGCATCCTGTAAGCTGCAGACTCCTCTCTGTGGTAGGGGTTTACACACAGGCTGCTGAGCAAGGCTCCCAGCTCTTTGCAGCAGAAGTCATGACAGACTTTAGAGGGGAAAGCAGGATGCGAATGCAGAACTCTCCTACTGGGCACTGCCACATGTCGTGAAAATCAAGGAGTAAATAAAGAAGAACCTTTTCAATTAAATTGTAAGAGTTCAGCCTGTGCATCTCCCCAGTGGGCCAGGGCATCTGCTACAGTATTCCTGAGTGTAGAGCAGGGACTGCTAGGGCAACGTGGGGTTTCAGGGAATGTACCTGCACTTCAGAGAAGCATCTGGGGAGCACAGCAGAGGAAAAGGAGCACTTGGAAAGTGTCCATCGCTACTGCATGCCCAGGTGCCGAGCAGGTCTGTGGTTTCCCTTGTTCTTGTCCCCCGATCAAATTCAGGGCTGTCACTGTAAGGAGTTGAGGGAATTATTTCCTTCTCCAGAAAACAGGCATCTTTGTAATCCATCCTCACAGACCAGACTGCTGTATAAATTATTTATAACGAGTGCTACTGAGTCTTGCCTTAATCTGATATACCTGGATCAGCTTTCTAGCACCTACTAGAGTCACCAAACACCCCACAAAGTAACTTCATCTCCCTCTAACACAGAAACACATACTACTCATCCTTCTGTAGGGATGGGAGACTGTTTCCAGTTCTGTCTATTGCTTGTCTGCCTCTCTTCCCCATATAGTTGCATCCTAACCAGTGCGATGAATTCCTTGGCCTCAGCTCACATCCTAGTGGATGCATGTCTTGCAGGGACTGAAAATGAAATCAGACCTTCTCCTCTCTATGATATCAGTAAAATATTTCCAAGAGCACAAAGTATGGGTAACAAGAAGGCATTTTTGGCACATCCTACACAGCTGCAGAAACTTGGCATAAATCCAGCTCCTACCAGCCACTGCCAGCATACATACTGGTGGAACCCCACAACCACCCAGTTGGGACCAGTGGCGGGTAGACATTTTGAGGGATAAGCCCTGACAGAATGCCACCTGTATAGCATTACACATGGTCTGCTCTTGCCTTTTCTCAGAGTACAAAGCAGCTAAGTGTTATCATCACAGCTGACAATCTATTATTAATACTGTACGTTTGTTAAGCACCCAGGGAAAGATGGGGTCACTTGAGTAACTCTCTCCCTTCACCGCTCTATCTCCCCTTCTTTTAATTCTATCCCTACAACAAGAGCACGATGTGTTCTGAATGGAATTTAATATCAGCCAGTCAGATAGTACTTGCACTGCCAGTCTACAGGCTATGATCTGCTTTTGTGGCAGTCTCTGCTACTGACCCCAACTTTTGCATGACAAGAAAGCACAGAGGTGCTCAGGGTAAAGATCTCTCCTGTATTTCACCATAAGGATCCATAATTATCATTAAAAGAGCACACAGACTGGCATAGCCTGCCTGATGTAGACCTGAGAACTGAACTGTAGGACAGAAGACAGTTCTTGACGGAATTGTGAAAGATGGATTAAAAAAAAAAAAAAGCAGACACTCTATCTGAACACTTATCCCTTGGTCCTTAATGAAGCCATATAGCTTAGGATCCCAACAGTGCAGTTCTCCTCAGGCTACCAGTCCACACATCTGCCAATTCTCACAAGGATTGCTGGGAACACAAAAAGGCCCTTTGTAGGACGATGGGGTTTGAGTATGAAGGCAGCATCGCTGACAGAAGCCAAGTCGATAAGAAAAAATGGGCTATGGGTCAGACTAAACTCTGGAGAGGGTGGCATGAGGGGAGAGTGGATGGCTGACAGCAGAGCTGTTCCAGGCAGAGCTTCTCCAGAGCATGGATTTCCACTGGCTCCCTCTCCTGTGGCAGTCCTTTCACAATTTCGTTGGGATTAAGAAACACAACACCCACTTGTTGGTTCTTCGGAAAAAAGCAGGACCGAAGCATCTAATTTCCTAGTCCAAGAAAGAGCGAGAAGACAACAAATGCATCCACTTTAGCTACCATTCACCCCTAAAAGGACCCACCAGCCCCAGTTGACTGCTTGCTCTGGCAGGAAAGTGAGAAGGGGAGAGGACAGGGCTTGATGTACAGACAAACCTCCCTCAGTTTGAGTCAAATGCTCAAACGTGTCACCTTAAAAAAAAGTTGAGCCTTTTTTAGGAGCTAAATTTTCTTCCTACATTGAAGAAACTTATCTCAGTTCTACAAAAGGAATTCAGATGAAGGATGCAAATGTTTTACATAGTCTGCTTCAACATAACTCCCACTCCTCTAATGACAGGAGGCACAAAGCTTGCTTTCCTGTTGCTGATGCTTCTGTGTCGCAGAAGTGAGAGTTTTAGAAGCCACTGGCTCCTGGGGAAGGTTGGTAACTAGTGCCCTGGTGCCACTCACAGGACCCAGACTCACGTCTGGAATGGTGATCCCCAACAGCTCTAACAAATGCCATTTTGTGGGTTGTCTGAGCTCACTGGAGGAGAAAGGGGGGTGTGCTAACCCTTTTCCTAACACCCCTTTCTTCAAGTACCAACCTGTAAATTTTTCCTGATCTCCATTGCCATGAACAATTTTGGTTAGGGGAGATAATTGTGAGGCTATTGCTTTGGGATTCAGAAACTATGTTGAGAGCAACAGCAAGTACCAAGTGTCCAGTGTTTTTGGGTCTCCTTGTTATTTCCAACAGCTTTTTTGGCTATCCGTTTGTAATGTAATCTAGTTCATGCCACAAGGCCCACACAACATACTGTGGATATGGAAAGAAAATGATACCCAATTTAGTGGCTAACTTAGACCTGAGACTTAGACCGGAATCTATCACAAAGATTAGGAGTCAAACTGCAGGATCACAGCTGGGATGTAGGTTGTTTTGTTTTCATTTTTCTTAAAAGCTTTTCATTAACATGTCTATTTCTGGAAAAAAAAAGAGCTTCTTAAATATATACCAGTCCCTCCTCTCTGTTTAGAAAGAGCTGTCCTTTATCAGAGGTGACACTTCCCACCACTCTCTGCTCCGTTCTCCTCTGACAGGTTCCAGTGCTCTACTATCTGGCAGCAAAGTCCTCTGGGATGCACTGTTCTAACTTCCCTGTGAAACTGGAAGGATATGTACTTGCTTGCTCATGAAAAATGGCAAAGAGGAAAGTTGTGCTGCCAGAGTGCAGGCCTGCAGTAAAGGGCTGTACCTGTGAGGAAGCTCATTACACTGCCGGGCACTGCGGCGGAAAGTCCCGCTGTGAGGGCCGTGTCATAGCCGAAGCTTGCTCCAGGTGGTGATGGGTGAGGATGGGAAAGCAATGCTCTAATACATGCACTCTCTCTCCCCTGCTTTTCACCTACCAGTGCTTGGCTGTTGGCTGTCCATATGTGCTGCAGAGTCCTTCTTTGCTTGCCCTTCCTCCTGCAAATGCAACAGTGGCAACCTGGAAGTGGACTGCAGTGGCTTGGGCCTCTCTTCCATCCCCTCAGACATCCCCACAAACACCAGGACCTTCCTCTTTCTCAACAACAAACTCAGCATCCTGCCGGGAGCAGTGTTTTCCAACCTCTCTGCCCTACAAAGGCTGGATCTATCCAACAACTTCTTGGACCAGCTCCCTCAGAACATCTTCAGTGACCTGGGGAACCTCACGGAGCTCCAGCTGAGGAACAACAGCATCCGGGCCTTGGACAAGGATCTGCTACAACACACGGCCCTGCTGCGCCAGCTGGATCTCTCCATCAACGGCCTGGCCCAGATACCCTCGGGCATCTTTGATGACCTGCCTGCTCTCCGCTCCCTCTCGCTCAGATCCAATCGCCTGCAGAGCCTGGACAGGGTGACCTTCGAACCGCTAACCAGCCTGCAGCAACTCCAGGTTGGGGATAACCCCTGGGAATGCGACTGCAACCTCCGGGACTTCAAGCACTGGATGGAGTGGTTCTCCTACCGAGGTAGGTGCTCACACAGCAGGTGCCAAGCGCGGAAGCCCTGGTTTTACACAGAAAGGCAGAGAAAGGCAGGTAGGGAAGAAACATGGGCAGACACACCTGGTGGGTCAGGCTGACCTGAATGCCAGGTCTTAGCCAAGGAGCATGAGGAGTGTGCTACAATGCTAAGGGACAGTTTAGTGCCACCACACCTCCATACAGCAACACTGCCAGGCTGAGAAGCCCTCTGCAGCCCCAGATCTCCTATTTCCTTCATTGTTTCTAATCTGAAAGATTACTTTTTTTCTTTTTTTTTTTCCTTGGGAAAGGAAAGAGTTTTCCTCGAATAACATCAAAATTTTAGGATTATGGGTTCCCCTCATGCTTTCTGCCTAAAGAGAAGAGAGACTTTTCATGTTTTAAAATAACCATCCCATTCTGTTTCTTAAGCTGGGAGAACTAAAAGCCAGATTTGGCTGTAAAGCATCAGGTTTGCTTTCAACAAGAGAACCATAGGAAAGAAACAGTGCCACTTAGGAAAATACTGCAACTAATATTGGCAAACCCAAATGAAAGCTCAAATTAGCAAGCCAGGCCCCAAGTCAGACTGGCTATAAAATCGTCATTTCAAGCCAAGCAGTTTTTGACAAGTTTGTATTTCCAGCTTTTCCTCGAGATACGGAAGATCAGGTTTGCTTTCAACAAGAGAACCATAGGAAAGAAACAGTGCCACTTAGGAAAATACTGCAACTAATATTGGCAAACCCAAATGAAAGCTCAAATTAGCAAGCCAGGCCCCAAGTCAGACTGGCTATAAAATCGTCATTTCAAGCCAAGCAGTTTTTGACAAGTTTGTATTTCCAGCTTTTCCTCGAGATACGGAAGGCTGGAAAGGT